CGCTAATCCTGAAGGTCCTGATCAGGATAAAAGAACAAACTATTTAATTTATTAAATTGTCGTTTTATTAATCCGACGTATTGAAGGAGGGAAAATAACGTTCAAAAATTCCGTTACATAGATACATACAATCCAAGCTAATAAAAGTGTGTTAAAAAGATTTATATCAGGATTACGGACTGATCAAAAGAATTTACTGCCACGTTCTATCTAGCAATAAGAAAAAAATTGAATTAAGTGCAGACACAATACTGCGTGAGACACGCCACTGCATTTGTCCATATAGTATTATTTCTCGTGTCACTAACATAGCACATAATACATAACACCCACCAACGACCGGCCTGTGGTTAACGTCTACAACGGTATACAAACCGTAATTAATTCCGAATATCTGTGCAACACTAAATGGCGATGGCCAACTTTAATGAAGTCGGGCAATTTCATTGAACAGCCATTTTGAAATTTCGAATTTTGCATTTTAGACGCGGTCGCTGACGTTTTCGGCTTTGCCTCTAGCACAAAGAGAGCTTTTGGCCACATTGGATTGTGGAATTGTGCATATATCGTCTCGTGTCAAAGGACAAGGAACCGTCTTCATATTATTGGTAGTAATTTAATTTTATATGTATAACGTTTCAATAGAGAAAGACCGCCTATATTGATGCAACTTGATGTAGATACTACAATATTACTTTAAAATTGGAAATAATGTATTAAAAGTAGTAATAATAATAATCATAGGTCTCTAGATGTTATAATGTAAAAGCCTTACCTAATCTGTATTGCAATAAAAAGGTAATCTGGATCGTGATTGAAATAAAAAGTATCAAAACAAAAACAAATATTGTAATGAATATTACGATACAGATATTATGTAGGCATTTAATAAGTACTTACAATGAAAATGAGAGTAAAAAGAAAATATGTTATTTCGGAAAATTTTTACTGATAGTAAAAATATTTTTGTTTAATAAATAATACCGTTTTAAGCAATTATGTTGTATATTAGGGTAACCATATTTATTTTAACCCAATTCTGGATGTTGAACACGAACACAACATCGATGAACTTTGGAGGGATAAAGACCTTTTTATATTAGCTCCCCAAAGATAAAAATACAAAAACACAGAAACCATGTACGGGACAATATTGTGTATTATATTGCTGGACAATAATGGCGTTTTGCTGGACAAATGCAATTGCTGTACAGGATGGGCAAATTTCGATGTTTAAATAAAGGATCTGGTTAACTATAAATGGTATGGAAAATGGTTTTCGCATCCTTGATCTCTTTTTTTGAGAAAAACATAATGGCATTTTCAAAAATTAGCTATTGTCTTTTGTTTTCGAGTTATAAACAAAAGTTCATTTTTTCAAATTTTGAGTATATGGATTTTTTGCCACAACCAATTACCCGTTCCATATAAAAAAATACAACTTTATGCTATAACTCGAATTTAAAGAAATAAAAAAAAAATAACTACGCCACTGAATTCTTATCAAAAAAGTGCCTTAAGAAGGTATTAAATAAGTTCCTTTTACTTCCATAAATAAGCGAGTGCGAATAATCTTTAAAGATGGATTTTAGAATTAAATACTACTAGATGGTTCTTATGAATTTCATTTTAGAGATAATTTTGTAAATTTTGTAATGTTGTTAATTAATCTCTTTATTTCTTATTTGCATGTACATTTATAATATCACAGAATAAACAGTACACAATAACAATTAAAATTATTTAATTATTTAAATGTACATTAGAAAAATATTATTATTCGAATTTCGATCCCAGTTTAATGTTTTGAAATGATTTTAAAATAACAATTCAGTATTTTTAGTATCGATATACATTGAACCTAATATGAAATTGTAATAGTTTCTAGTACCTGCACATGAAAATAAACATTTTCATTAAAGAAAATGTATTTCATATACAGGATGTTAATTTAGTAGGTACTTAAACATAATGAAAAAAATACAATATTAGAAATAAAAATTAAAAAAAAAAACTATAGGCAAAACTTGTTTTTTTCTATGTGCTGGAAAGTAATCTTCATTTTTTTATTTGAGTTCGACGACTTATTTTGCCAACTTTTGCGCATCTCCTGACAATGCTATTCGCAAAACTGCTTATCGTTATCTGATTTATTATTTATGGATGAGCAATCTCTATCACTATATATCATTAGATTTTTCCCTTCTAGTACACGAGCGCTTTCTTAATTGTATACATTTTGGTGGACACTTTTAATATAAATAACCATATAAGATTATCCTCCTTTTCTCTACACTCCATAACAATGTCTTGGTCATAACCTTTATAATATTGGCATGTTTAAGATAATAAGTTACAGTTCCCTACCTTCACTGATTTCCCTATTACTTTATAAGAGGGCGTTTCCCGCGTTTAGTTATGTAGATAGTGACACTGATTTTTCTTTTGCTTTTCATGTATATTTTAAAAATATAATTGTAGTTCTCTACTTGGGAATAATATATTTCATTTGCCTTAGTAATACCAGATATCTAACATTTAATCCATAACATCAATTGTTTTCTATGCTTGAATTTAAAAGCGTAAAATATTGAATAAAATGAAATAGGATCTTGTTCTACATAAAAAACGCATTTATCAATTTGTATACCGATTACATCTGACATCGGCTATAAATACCGGGTGTCCGCGCGAAAACTTTAAATGGAATTATTTCTGGTGTTTTAAAATATATCGACTTGAAATTTTGGAAGGTCATTAAGGAAGTAGGGGGTAAATTAATAGTGTATAAGATACCACTCCAACGTGATATCTGCCGCCCCCAGCCACCCCCGGTTCAAAAGTTTAAATGACACCCTGTATTTTTTTTACATATTCTGAAAGAGCGTAGTTTTTTTAGTATCTCTATGTGAAAAAATTACTTAATTACATAATGAACTTTGAAAGATATTTACAGCTAAAGGTTCAGATACCAGATATTCAAATATCGAAAGCAAAAAATAATAGCAAGCCATGAAAGCTGCTTCGTTGCTTGAACTGTCAAATAATATTGTTTGTGACACTTCTGTTTACTCGTTAGTACAAAAGTTTTCGAAAAAATTTGACTTAGTTTAAATTAAATAGCTAAAAAAATAGAAAAATGGTTTACAGTTTGGAAGAAAGAACTGAAATTGTAGTTTTATATGGGATTGCAAACAGAAACTATTCGCAGACGGCAGCATTATTTAACGAAAACCATCCCAACAAAAATGTATCTGCTGTTTATGTAATTAATCTAATACAAACATTTTTTGAAACTGGATCGGTAAATAATAAAAAACGTGATATGAATAATCGTGGAGCACGAGATGAAGCAACGCAAGTTGCAGTTCTTGGTCACGTAAATTTAGACCTACAGCTTTCAGTTAGAAGATTATCAAAAGCTTCGGGAGTGGCAAAAACAAGTTGCCATAAAATATTAAAATTAAATAAAATAATGCATCCTTATAAAATACAGCTTCATCAAGAGTTGGGCGACGATGACTTCGATAGAAGAGTCCAATTTTGTGAAACTATGACAGACATGATTCGGCAAAATAGAAATATTTTGCGAAATATTTGTTTCAGTGACGAAAGTTGCTTTTCCTTAAATGGTTTCGTAAATAGACACAATTGTCGATATTGGAGCGATGTTAATCCCCACGTTTTCCGAGAAGGCCATACGCAACGTCCCCAAAAAATTAATGTATGGGCTGGAATTCTAAATAACCAAATAATTGGTCCATTTTTCTATCACGAGAATTTAACTGGGCCTAGATATCTCGAGTTTTTAGAAGAATTAATACATACTCTTATCATTCAGTGCTTGGAAGAAAACTTAGATCAAATGCAGGAGAATCAGTTATACTTTCAGCAAGACGGAGCTCCCCCTCATTACTGTTTAGAAGTAAGGCAATATTTAAATACTGTTTTTCCAGGACAATGGATAGATCGTAAGGGTCCTATTGAATGGCCAGCTTGCTCCCCAGACTTGACCTCACTGGATTTCTTTTTATGGGGACATTTGAAGTCTGTTGTTTACAGGACACCACCAAAATCCATTGATGATTTGCGTAATAGAATCATAGAGGAATGTAGAGATTTAACACCACATGTCTTTGAAAATATTCGGAACGCTTTCGAGAATAGACTGTACTATTGTTTAAATGTAAACGGTGAACATTTTGAACATTTGATTTAACTAAAAAAATAAAAAGAGTCCTTACTTTAGTTTATAAAGCGAAATTTTGTTGGTCTATAAGAATACCTATTTTTGTGATAAGTTGTATTTTTTTGTGATAAGTTGTATTTTTTTGTGATAAGTTGTATTTTTTTGTGATAGATTCTTTTTTTTTATATCTGGTATCTGAACCTTTAGCTGTAAATATCTTTCAAAGTTCATTATGTAATTAAGTAATTTTTTCACATAGAGATACTAAAAAAACTACGCTCTTTCAGAATATGTAAAAAAAAATACAGGGTGTCATTTAAACTTTTGAACCGGGGGTGGCTGGGGGCGGCAGATATCACGTTGGAGTGGTATCTTATACACTATTAATTTACCCCCTACTTCCTTAATGACCTTCCAACATTTCAAGTCGATATATTTTAAAACACCAGAAATAATTCCATTTAAAGTTTTCGCGCGGACACCCGGTATAAATCAACCATGTAATAAAACTTGCGAACTATTGACTGATTTGTTTAACAGATGTTACAAGCTTTATATTAGAGAAAACGTTCATACCCTGACAAGTAGAGAGTCAGTGATAGCTTCTAGAATTGTTAAGAGTAAAACCAGTGTCCATTTTTTTTATCCAAATTCGTTTTATGTACAACCGTTGTCTAACTTAGCTGTATAGCGAGTTTTAAGCTAATTTTTGGGCTACTTGTTTATATCTGCCTAATATTATAAATTAGTTCCTAACCATTTTATTCATATTTTAAACTTGTTTGGTATCAACTTTTTTTTTTTTTTTTAGGTGGACGTATAGATCACGCCCATCACTACAACAACGCATACAGAGCGTTGGACGAAACGTTGGCTATGGAAACGGCCCTTTTAGCAGCTCTAGCTCTTGTAAATCCCACTGAAACTCTGATAGTGGTTACGTCAGATCATTCCCACGTTCTGACAATGGGTGGACAAGCCACACCAAGGGGACATCCTATATTAGGTAAGTGAATTACTCGGTTGCTATTACTTAACTTAACTTTGATTTTGTATCTAATAGGTATTTAGAGAGACGGAGTCTAGCTTAAGCTACTCTACTTAACCATTCTTCACTAAAATTTACTAATTAACAAAATATTTGTTATAAAATATTAAGTTTTGAAATAGGAATAATTTCACAATTACAGAAGTATCAAATAGCTATTTATACAACCAATTACCAAATGCCATATTTTGTAACGTGTTACATTAGTACAATATGTTTTCTAATTTGAACTAGATTATTTATAAAATTGTGTTTTGGTAAAAATTACTAACAACTATGTAACTAATATTACTTTCACAACTGGTGACATAATGAATTTTTCGTAACCAGTTTATGCAACTAGTTGCGAAAAGTAGATCAGTTTATCATTTGCTGTGATTACAAAAAAAATGTCATTTTATATCTCAAAATTACAAAAATATATTTATGTAACGTTCACATACACCAAAGGCAAGTAAAGCATAGAACATAAGACTAAATCTGAACGGATTAAAGGTTTAAGATTTTTACTAAATTTTTAAGAATGAAAACATACTATCGTTTAATTACAAATTAGTTTCAAGATTTTGGCGCCCAACGTGGGGCAAAAAGGGCCTAAAACTGATCCTTGTGGAATATTTAAGGATGTGTCATTGAAATTGTAATAATTCAGTTTCGCTCAGAACAATTTAATTGAGAGAAGAGTGTCAATCCTGTTAGAAAAATTTTATTTCACAAGTCCCATATCTAGTGATCCAATTATATAATTGGTTATATTCAGTAACAGTGTGTTTTTTACGAAATCCATATTGGGTGTTATTTTAGATGAAAATGTAGACCTATTAAGACTTACACTACGCCACTGTAGTGTATTTGACTCTCGGTAATGTCCTTTAGTTGTAAAAGATTCTAGCAAGGTTATCACCTCCACCACTGAGATTTCAAATCTCAGCCTTCCAATTATATCAAAAATAAACGCCCCAATAAACACGATCTAAAGATATTTTTGATATCATTTTTCGCATAAGAAACAAAAAACAAGAAAATTCAGTAGACATTTTTATAGTTCGCTTATCCTCTTGGAGGACAAACATCGCTAAAAGGATACCGGGAGGCAGTTTTTCTCCTGTTTTTTTCATACTTTTTATTCGGCCTCTCGTCAGGATAGGGCCCGGGGGTGTTATTTTCTTAGCGGAAATGTGAATATGATATTAGATAGAAATTGATTTGGGTTGGTTAAAGCGTTCTCCAAGACCTTCGTGAAAATATTTTGATATTATGGACGATCCATTATGGATATATTTTATCTTGGGATTAAGTGATCTTTTTAAAGGGAATCAGAACTGTCTGCTAAAAGTCCCAACCCTAAACCTGCATATCTACCCTAAAAATACGAATCTCAATCAAACTAAAATTTCATTCGAAATAACAAGCTGATATTCCATTTTTAATTCTATTGAAAATAGTTATAAAATAAAAAGAATTTAATCCAATGCTTACTATGGGTGTCCCACAAGGGTCTCTTATAAACCACCCATCCTTTTTGTTTTATAGAAACAAGATCAAGATCAAGATAGAAGGTGTGTTGAAATTTCGGTATTTTATACGTTGTAGGAATATCTCAATACGAAACATGAGTGGATAGGACCCCTTGAACCGGCGCGCAGAGCGGGAAGTCAAATAAAACGGCGCCGCGCCGGTCAATCAAAAAAAAAAGTATTGATTTATATTTTTTTTTATTAAAAAATTGACCACAAATTATTGTACAATAACTGATAAATAAAAAACAAACTATATTTTTTTACATTAAAAACACATAAGTTATGGTGTAAGAATGTAGGTGAAGCGGTGCGCAGGTTCTATGACGTCATCATCGGTATTGTTACGACCGCCTATAAACTGCCATGGCTTTGTTTACATTTTGTAATGATTGTTACGATGTGGTCAAGATGTTACTCTTTGAATGATGGATGAAAATAGGAAACAAGGTAAAGAAGAAATAATGAAGAAGTTTGGGATTTTAAAATGTACAATCACAAAAAAATAGAAGAAAATAAGAAGAATATAAGAATAGAAATGATAGGAAGAATAGATGAAGTAGAAAATGAACAAGATAAGAAATATAAAATAATAACAGAAAAAGGAGAAGATTAAAAAAAAAAGATTTATACAGTGATAGACAGTGTTAAAACAGGTAGATAGTAGGATATCGAATTTAGAGAAAGTGAAGGAAAATATCAAAGAAATAGAAGAAGAATATAGTCAGAAGTTGAATAAGCAAACAGGTAATTTGGAAAAACAATTATCCAACAGAATAGATTTAACGCTATTAGAAATAAAAAAAGAAGTAAACATAAACCAAGACAATAGAAGCAAAACGAAGAAAAATAAGAGGGAATGTAAAATAAGAAATGGTGATCTTGAAAAGAAAGAAAAGAGAAAATATTGTTTGAAATATAAAGGGAAAATAAAATGAAAGAAGATTATAAAAAGAAGACATTATCAAGAAAGAACATAATCAAGGAAGAATGGAGAAACATAATCAAAAATAGGGGATTGACTGAAAAAGAAAAAGTCAGAAATAAAGTAGAAGAAAAAGTACAAAGAAAGCTTCAAAAGGGGATTAAAGATGTAAAATTTAAAAAGGAGAACATAAAGATATGGAAAACGGATTCTTAGAAATAGAAAATAATATAGAATGTACAGCATAGGATAGGATAATTAAGTAATAGTGAAATAAAATAGGAATAATATTTAAGAAATTAAATAAACAAATTTAAAAAAGTTAATGGTTAAAATAATATAACAATTATAAGTAAAAATATAATAGGTAAAAAAAAAGAATAAATCATAATCAAATAATAACAAAATAGTCCAAATTTATTAATTACCTTGGTAAAAAAAAGAGCATGAAGAAACAGAAGAAGCAACTAATCATTATAAATACGATAAAAATAAGAAAATAGTTAAATAAAAAAAAATTAGAAAATTAGTGGAAAAGAGAATTTATGTTTAAAAATAAAGTAGGTATTTTGAAAAAGGAGCTGGAAGAGTGAATTATAAAAAAGATGAAAGACTAGAAAGAAAGTGAGTTAAGTTGTAGGAGAATAAATGAAATATGATATGTATTAGGTTAGGTTAGGTTGAAAATTAGTGGGATGATCTCATCGCCCTCCACTGCGACCCAGATGGGTCTATTGTGGCTCATAACTAACTTATAGTTCACCGTACAAGCTACACCTTTTGATGAAGGTCATGGTTGAATTGGGTGAGACTTCTCTAAAGTCGGTAGGCTCCAGTCGGGTAAATCCGAAGATCTGGAACCTGGTTCTTTCCAGAGCGGAGCAGGTACATAGAATGTGCTCTGCAGACTCGTCCTCCACGCTGTAGAATCGACAGTCCGATGTTTGTTGCAGACCTATCCTTCTCATGTGGTTGCCCAGACGGCAGTGTCCTGTCATCAGTCCAGTGAAAATGCGTAGATCTCTCCTACTCCATTCTCGGATCTGAGCAGAGGCGTTCATGGAAAGGTTGTTTATAAACGCCTTCGAATGGGTTAGCCCTGGGGTATCTCTCCAGTTCGTGAGTGTTGCACCCTCCGTCCATTTTGAGATAATTCCTTTGGCAGTGCTTTTTGCAATGCCCAGGAATGGTTCTGGTCCTATGAACACAGATTCGGTTTCTCTTTTAGCAAGTGCGTCGGCTTTTTCATTGCCCTCCACACCACTGTGTCCCGGAACCCAGATCAAAGTAACTTTGTTCCGGGCACCGAGACACTCTAGGGTATTTATACAGTTCCCAACCAACTTTAAGTCAACTCGATTGGAGCTCAGGACCTTAAGGGCTGCCTGGCTATCTGAAAAGATCTTTATAGTCTTGTTTTCGGGGAGAAAATTAATCAACTCTCTCGCTCTCAATTCTATAGCAATCATTTCTGCTTGGAAGATCGTGGCCAGAGAGCCTAGGTTTATTGATATGTCAACTCTAGGCCTCTGGCCGAAAACTCCCGCTCCTACTCCTTTTTCAGTTTTGGAGCCGTCCGTGTACAGCGCATAGTCTGCCTGGAAGAGGGTTTTTCCCCTTTGCTCCATGCGTCTCTCTCTGGAATGAGGACGCTGTATGGCTTTTCTATGTGCTGTCGGGGAACTAGCGAGTCCGAGACCATGCCGAGGATGGGGTGATTATTAATTTCACTCACCAGCCCCGTCTTGTCCCACCGCAGTTCTTCGTATCATTGACTACCCACTTTGAGGAGCCTGTAGGAGAACATTCTGGCCTCCCTTTCCAACACAATGTGGAGAGGGGTTAGGTCCAGTATGGTCTCCATGGCTCCCGTAGGTGTAGTTGACATTGCTCCAGTTATGGCGAGACACGCAAGCCGCTGTATTACAGCCAGCTTTTCTCTAGCCGTCCGTTGGAGTCCCTTGTCCCACCAGACGACAGAGCCGTACGTAACCATGGGTTTTACCACTGTTTGGTAGATCCAATAGATTAGTTAAGGACTGATCCCCCATGCTTTGCCGCATATCCTTCTGAGTGTCCAGAGGGATAATTTGGCTTTGTTAATGCTTTTTTCCAATTGGGGGTTCCAGATGAGTTTCTTATCTAGGGTGATTCCCAAATATTTCACCTCCTCCGCAAAAGGAATGGTTTCCCCAGCCAAGGTAGGTTATCGAAGCTTATCGAGCTTTCTTCTCTTGGTGAATTGGCAGAATTTTGGTCAAGTATGAACGTGCCAGACCAATTTTATTCGAAAAAGGAATAAAAAATAAAAATGTTGATGTTTAATTTTTTCTTATACCTTGTATAGAAAATTTGTTTGTTGTAATAAATTTGTCGGGGGTGGTCTGACAAACAGTTGCGTCAAGAATAAGAATGCCAGGCCTGAATTTCTATATTCATCTAATCAAAACGGCATCGTAAACTAAAAAATTATTTTTATGTTATGTAGGTCAATTTTACAAAAAAAAAAATAAAATACAAATTTTATTTAAAAAAAAAATTGGACAAGTCATAGACTACCTACCAGACCGATGGTTTGTTATTCATCCAATATCCAAAAAGTAATGAAATATATTTTTGTACTTATACTGGTTGACCACCTTTTTACGGCGGTCGCCTTGGACTATGAAATGTATCAGCATTAAACGATAATACTTTATCCTTGCTATTAGTGATATTACAGATAAAAGCATTTCATTTTTTTAATTCAATAAAAAATTATTTAATTATTTAGCTAAGTAAATGTCATTTAAAATCAAGCACATCACATTTTGGCGAATTAAACAGGTTAAGATTTGAATGATGTCAATTATGTCAAAAACAAAAACAACTCGAAGTAGAGAAAGACTTGCTTAATCTTGGTCTGGCAGTATTTTGATCAAGTATGAACGTGCCAGACCAATTTTATTCAAAAGAGGAATAAAAAATAAAAATTTTGACGTTTGATTTTTTCTTATACCTTGTATAGAAAATTTGTTGTTGTAATAAATTTGTTGGGGGTGGTCTGACAAACAGTTGCGTCAAGAATAAGAACGCCAGACTTGAATTTCTATATTCATCTGGTCAAAACGCCATCGAAAACTAAAAAATTATGTTTAAGTTATGTAGATCAAATTTGCAAAAAAAATAAAATACAAATTTTATTTAAAAAAAAAATTGGACAAGTCATAGACTACCAGACCGATGGTTTGTTATTCATCTAATACCCAAAAAGTAATAAAATATATTTTTGTACTTGTACTGGATGACCACCTTTTTACGGCGGTCGCAGCACACTGGGGCAACAAGCCATCAAAGTTGGCAATAAATCACAGACTTTCTTTATGAATTTGTAAGTTAAATATTGCTTTGTAGAGGTGTTAGTATTACAAATGAAAATACATAGAGGGCTTATAAAGTGTTTGTTAAAAAAATAGTAAGTTATCAAGAACTTAATATAATAAAAATGTATATTCTATTCTTAATATCTTTCTATTTCTTTTTTAGCAAATAAACACTTTATAAGCCCTCTATGTATTTTCTTTTGTAATACTAACATATAATATAATAAAAATGTCATAAGCCTAATGAGGGCCTAAGTGCCGTGGGGGTAATCCACTTTCCACACGTTAAAGATACAGATAATGAAAATGTAATATTATAATAATTTCATTTAGAAAAGCTATGATAATTGTAATCAAATTTCATCCTCTTTAGATTGTGATAAGACATTTTCTTCAACGTCTCCACGTTCATCATCAGTGTCATGAATATACCATGGCTATGAAGCTGGACGAGTCCAGATTTAAACAAATCTACTGCTTCTTTAGGAAAGTGCTGCAGGTTGTTTATTTTTTAATTTTCGTGTGCTCGTGATTACAAGGTCGAAACTAAGTAAAAACGAATTAAAGACATCTTCATTAGTTTTCTCTGTTAATTGGACTCTAGGCAACAAAGCAGAAGATATTATTTCAGGCCCATGAATAAAATATTTGTGCAATGTCGGAGGCATATTGACCGTTGGTACTTTTCAACAAAGTATCTAACGGTGTTGTGAGCAAATTCTATTAATTTCATTCTTTCCAGAACTTCTCATGATATTAAGAAGTTTCCTTCTCGATAAAAACATAGTGGTCGGAAAGTATATTTACATACCTACCAAATCAGATCCATTGAGTACAAATCGGTCAAAAACTAAAATAGCAGCGTTGCAAAGCATAATAATGTTATTATAGCCTTCTATGAAAACATAAAAACAAAATACAATCTAATCACAGTACAAAAACAAGTTAAAAACTACAAAAATAACAATGAATATATAGGCCTCAGATAAGTAACTTTGACTGAAGGTGGCGATGAAACGCGTGAGACAGAAGATCGCACTTGCTCGTTTTATTATGTAGTGGACAGTAATATATAAGAAAAAAATATGAGGTAGAGTGTATATGCTATTTAATTTTTTTATTTATTGCCAAGTTTGAGGGCTTGTTGCCCCAGTGTGCGCCGCTTGGACTATAGAGGGCGGGTTGTCCAACGGCTCTTAAGCCTCATTAGACCCATTGTGCATCCTCTTAAATTAGTGGGCCACTTTTAGCTGTGAAATATTAATTTGAGGACTGTTACCTTATTTCAGCATTGTAATACGATTATTAGCATTGACTTAGGATCTTTTAATTCATGTGGGATTTTTATTTGGGATTTTTTTACTTTATTACAAAAACTGAAATAAGATCACACACGTAAATAGTAACTAAAAAATTATATACAATATACCCATAAAAAATAGACAAAATAGGCCAGCACGCCCATGTCTCAAATTTGCTCTTTTGAATGCTTTCAGACATGTTTTCTTTTATTAGCTTTACATTTATTTATTTAATTGGTGTCGCCTTTCTTCCTTTTTATGAATCCAACTAGGCAGTTTTCATTTTCCAGAAAATATGAAATTGCTTTAATAATACGCCAGGAATACTTCAAGGCTTCTTGCGAGAAATCTCATTATTTTTTTTTGCTAAAAACAATGTTAGAACGAGGCCATCTAATTCGTTAGAAAAATTTAGTTTCCAGGCAGTTTTATTTTGATATAAAAAGCGCATGTAATCTATACCTTCTTGGGCGCTAAACAAAGTGACGGCGTGAAACGGGTATGTCCATCTGGCGTAGTTATAATCAGGTCTCGAAAAAAAAAATAATTAATTTATTTCACCCCTTGCTACTTTTTTGGCTTGGTTCTTACAATTCCTGATACAGTATTTTTTTAATAGTCCACAATAACTAATTTCTTCTTGCAGGTCCTGATAGCAAAGTCTCTGATGTTGACGGACAACCCTACACTACCCTCCTATATGGAAATGGTCCAGGATATGCCACACCCAGGATAATACCGATGAATACGACTTCGGCTGCTGAAGATCGAAACCAAGTTCACGGATCAGCAGTACCCAGGCAATGGGCCACTCATGGAGGTGAAGATGTTCCCGTATACGCATTGGGACCTTTAGCAACCACTCTGTTTACAGGTTAGCGTTATTTATTACAATAATCGGTATTATCTTTAAGAATAAAATAATTAATATTGGTATCATGATATCAAAGAGTAAAGAAAAAGTTTCGATCTCACCTTAGGCAGAAAGCCCACTCTCGCGACATGTCGCAAGCGACCTGCCCCACGCGATTTTTTAGATACAATTTTAAACTGAATTATTATTATTAAAAAAAAACACTACACGCAGCGACACTGACGTTCAATATCAAAATCACAGATCACTTACTTTCACAATGAAAACGGCAATGTTAAAATTCGAAACAGTATGGTAGGCTGCGTGATAATTCTTTGAACTATTTGCCAGGAAGTGGCGCAATCTCACGGTTACATTAGTTAATAAAAAACGCGGGAACGTTTAAAATGGTCATTCAATATTTGCAATTTAAAAATTGTAGTCAAATTAAGATTTGTTCATACTAACGACGTTTTTATGTTATTGTAACAATAAAATTTTATTTGTTACAATAAAGCAAAAATGAGTACTTTGAACTAATTCTAACAAGACTACAAGTTTAAATATTTTTTTGATACACAAAAAATTAAAAAGCATGAATAACAAAATTAATTTAATAAAACAAAAAAAAAAACATGAAAATTAAATAATTAAATATAGCGTATTAATTAGCTGGAGTGTCAAGTTGGTTCATTTCCACAGCGGTTAAAGAGTTTTATCTAGCACAAAAAATGAATATTAATAAACTTATAAAGCAAATGAAGGGTGCAGGATGAAAAAAAGTGGCTAAGTCACATTTTTTCCAAAATTAAACTGTTACCGCCCTATTTTTAAATACCTGTATGTTTAAAATTATGTCCAAGTATTTAGAACCTTTTTCTTTTGTTTGTTTGGCCCTTTCAGTATTTAGATTGGTAAATTAAGTAGTAAACTACAAAATAATCAGGCATACAAAGTAAAATCTTTATTTAATAAATTACCTTAAAGTATCAAAAGTTTATATTTAGTCAGTCCAAATTAACTTTTTTTTCCTGGACATTTTGGTAATTACGACTTGGACTCTTTTTTCCCTGCTCCCTTTAATTTTGTTAGGGAGCTCAGAAAAGAAAGCATGAATAAAAAAGGTACAGTGACCATTACTTCCCTGACTTGGCTGTTTTCTCTTCCACAGTGCAATACTGTCACTCCAAACGGCTTGAAGATACTATGTATTGGAACAAATAAAAAAAAAACAGTAAAAGTAATAATCTAAACTAATTCAATATATTAATTAAATGTATTATGCTTTAGGGAAAGTGAGGCATGAATACAAAAAGTACAGTGACTATTTCTTCCCTCACTAGGCTGTTTTATCTTCCATGGTGCAATACTGCCACTCCAAACTGCTTGAAGAAAATGTGTACTAGCACAAATAAAAAAAAAATAGTTAGACCTCTGCGAGTACCAGGAACTTTAAACTTTTATCACAACGTTTATCATATATTAAATAGTTTTTACAAATTTGTTGTGTTGTTTTATTATTGAATAACGGACTGCGAACAGCCAATACCCAAATTTAAAATAAGTCATTATAGGGATCAGGTCTGGGAAAACGACGCCTTTTCAGAGTATTTACAAAACAAATTGGCATACAGCAATACGACATATTTCAACTTTTAAACAAAAAAATCACAAGCATTTAAAATAAGCTCACAATCATCAGCAAGATCAAGTAAACAAATTGAAAGTTAAAAACACAACAAGACCAAGTTGACAATCCAATAAACAATACTATAAAAAATATTTACTATTTATTCATCCAAGATCCAGGACACTCCCAAATACACAAAACTAAACAATAATTATTGACAATATTATGATATTAATCACAATAAATACTGGTAATGCAGTCCCACAGATGAATGGCAATGACCAATGACACTCCATCCCCAACTTCCTCTCTTTCAACCATCAATTGTAGGTTTCTGTAAATTGTGTGTACAGCGCAACGAGCGCTAATTCTTTAAAACTAAAACATGGTGTTAGTTCGGGCTATACCAGTTACCGATACCTAATCAAAATGGAGATGAAAGTAAGAGCGACGTTGTTTAATATTTTCGTTATCGGAAAAAGTGAAACGTATGTACTGGATTCATCCTTTATTTATAGGACGTCCAGTTAAATTGCGCATTAAATTTACTTTATAATATACCGTTTCATGTTTCAGGTTGGTCTTGAATATCAGAGATACAGTGTGTTTCATGACGTATTGAATAAGTTTAAATCATATTCATAAGTTCATTTCAAGCAAAAAATGTCTTATGAACGCATAACCAAGTCACCATGGTTACCAAGCTACAAGTGTTCAAAGATCAGAAGATAAATTAATGTGTTTGAATATGTCGAAACGATTGGTGATTTTAAACTGGAAGGTACGGTTATTTGTCGCCGATACTCCCTACATACAGCACGCAAATTTTGATCAAAAAATTAATAACTATACACTACAGCATATTGTTCATTCAAAAACAGCACAGGCATTTTAAAAATTTAAATTTATAACAAACAAAAACCTAGTTGACAAGTGTAAAACTGACCAATCAACGGGCGCGGCGTTTATAATAATTGTTGATAAACCGACAACCAAAAACTTAAAAACTTGACATACTACGTTAATTTATCTTCTGATCTTTGAACGATTGTAGCTTGAAAGTGGACATTTGTTTGTAGAATATTAATTGCCGGAGGTTATTTTAAAACTGAGGAACCGAAAGGCAACAAATAATAGGAACACTCCAACGCTATCGACGTGTCGCACGTCGCACACGACTGATATTCAAGAGGCACCCTCAAATATGAAACAGTAGTTATAAGTAAATTAAATGCGCAATTTAACTGGACGTTATCAGTAAAGTATAAGCGAGAAAGCCCACTAAAGCGACACGTCGCGCGCGACTTGTCGCTAGGCATCGCACGCGGCAAGAGTCTAGATGTATTTAAGTGGGCTTCCATACTAAAAAAGCATGCAACGTGCGACTTGCTGCCAAAAACCAGGAAGCACGTCGCAACTGACGTCTTCACGATTTACTTTCATAACAAAGTCGCTCAGTGTGACTTTTTTTATTATCAGACCTTCAAGATGTCGTAGGAAGAATACAATATTGCGTTAATTGCTGCTGTGATTGCAAGGAGGAGGAGAAGGGGGATGAAAAAGATAAGAAAATTGTAGTTTTATCCGTAGTTACGTGATAATGCTGATACATATAGCACGTTTATTGTATAGCAGCAAGTACATCCTCAAAAATTCCAAAACTTTTACAGGATGGAAAAAGCAACATTTAAAAAGCCTGTTGATCTAATGAAACCATTAATACAGTTACAGGATACAAATTATCGAAGGCAAGAAAATATTGAAAAATTATAAACCATAAAATCGTTATTCGGTCAACGACAAGACAATGAATGTTTGAGGCGTATTTTAACCCTTATATCCAGAAGGATAAATTGGTGGGTAGTTACCTTCGCTGACGAGTGTGCTTCTATCGGAGGGAAACGAAGTAAATTGGCCAGCGTGAATTTTGCTATATATGTGGGTCTTGTTTCGTCTGTCATTATTAGACACAGAAGTGGAAGTACCCGCTAATGTTGATTTAGCATATCGTCTAATGTCTGCAGTACTATCACCTTGAATCTTCGTTTCTCCGATGCGTTTAAAGTAGCAATATCAAGGAGAATGCTTTTAGGTTGTGGCGCACTTTTTGAGTAAGGTAATTGACGACAACATGCTCCATTTCTTTCACTATAGTTTTTGGCAGAGCCTTCCTTTTTGTTGAGGATCTACTCGGTGTACGTGACAGTGCTCGTGACGGTGTACGTGACGGTGCACGTAACGGTGTACGTGAGAAATTAGTATCCAGTAAATCTGCTTGCGGATGATGATCAGTGGGGTGTTCTTCAAGACCGGTAGCTCTTGACTTTTTGTCATCATCATCTATACTGTACTTTTTTGGACAGCCATCTAGAAAAGTCTGTAAATCGATATTTCGCCGACTGTTTATTGGCTAGTCGTTACCGGTCGACAAGACATAAAGATTTTCTTGAGTGCCGAACATATTTAAATAAAAATAACAAACTCACATGTAGAAAAATATGTCCCAGCAACTTGGTTCCAAGCTTATCTTGTTCACTTCTATTGCTGTAAGCCTTTAAAGTATGATCATAAAGACACGGGTACTTCTAGACAGTCTAAACAAAGTCTATATTAAATTATTCATCATCCTGTAATGTTTTTACATCTTTTATGCTAGACATCGCGAAATGACTTAAAAATTAATTTATTAACTCGGCCACTAAACAAGTCAAATAACGTTTGCGCGGGTTGGAAACACGTGACTAAGTAGCGAATTATATGACATGTTTTATATTAGAGTCGCTCGTCGCATATTGCCACTTCGCATTTTTGCGACGTCACTCCGATGTAAAACCATTAATTTGTTTGTATAGGTTTTAAAACAAGCAGCATGCTTCCTGCTTTCTGGTAGCTAGTCGCACGTTGCATGCTACTTTGGTGTAAAAGCCCACTAAATGAACCAAAGTCCATTAACGTGGTTCTCTCGCGTAGTCGCACGCGGTTATATAATAGGAACGACATGCCCGCAATTATCTTGCCGCAAGCGGCAACACTCATTACATACGTTGAGTCGCTTGCGTCGATAGAGTTGGAGTGTTCCTAGTGGTTGTCCTACGGTTTTATAGTTGCAAAATAACCTCCGGTGTTGTTATTTATTTATTCAAAGGACACTTTTTGGTTGAAATGAACTCATGAATAGGTTATTTAAATTTGTACAGTACGTCATACAACACCCTGTGTATCTGATATTCAAGACCACCCTCAATTATGAACCAGTATATTATAAACTAAATTAAAGACGCAATTTAACTGGACGTTATAAGTAAAGGATGAATCCAGCACCAACTTTTCACTTTTTTTTTTGTTAACGGAACAAGTTCTTTTAGACCGTTATATCCAAGGTGTATCCACT